TAATAACACAGCCCCGGATGGATCCTTTACTACAGCCATGAAGAAGATAAAAAAGCTAAGAGATGAGGTCACTGAAAATGCTGGGAGAGACAGGAGTTTTGGGTATTGGCTGGACTCAATATTTGCATCCTGGAAAGACTGGCTCATTCAGGTGGGAATAATATTAGCAGTATCAGTTGGTGTTTTCTTTCTGTTGTTTTGTTGTGTTGTGCCTTTTCTCAGATCAATGCTGGCCAGTGCAGCTGCCAAACAAATGATCAATGTATCAGTGAGACCATCAGGAGTTGATGTTGGATGTGTCAATGAGATTCTACCAAGTGCCCCAGACCTGGATGAGCTGGATGAGTTTCTGTAAAGTAACAAAATGAGACCCTATGGAAAGACGGTACCTTATTACTTTTTGATTTTTACATTTTTACTCTGTTTATGGTTAGAGAGGGAGATAGCCCCACTGTGTATTTTGATTTTGGGGATAAAATTAGTTAGAACATTTAGTGCATGGGTAGAGTAGGCAGTTAGTTAGAGGGGTTTTTCTACATTCCTTTGATTTTGGTTAAGGGCTGTCTTTCCAGAAGTATTTAGACTCATATAATCAGTTTTATATAGCATGCTTATGTAATCCACAAGAAATATTTTTACTATAATCACACCAACTGTCACAACTATAAATATGTGAATGTAAGGGGATGTTAGAAGGTCTGAAACAGGTCATTGTCCGTGGTACGAGATAATGCAACCAGGAAAAATGAAAAGTCAAGAATGTTTTATTATTACTATTCACTTTATGTCACGGTATATACCACCTTTTGAGTATATTCATATATAATGTGTTATGAAACTAAAAGAATGAAGGAAAAGGATTAGAAGGAATGTAAGAAGAGATTAAAAGTAAGTTCTTACTTTAAAGAAATGATGCAGTATGAGGGATTGAGATACAAATGTTTCCATTGCCATTGTTTTTTTACATATATACAATCTATACTCCTGAAAGTAGTATGTAGAAGTGCATTTAAAAAAAAAAAAGAGAAAAATAAAGAGAATGGTGATATTTTACATGGATGGAACATGTACATGTGTGTAGTAGACAGAGGAACTATACGTAAAGCGCGGTCACCGATTGTCAAAGAAAGGCAAGGGCAGACTCAACTGGTGGTTTAAAAACCCGCTGTCTGCTCCAACACCAGATAGCGCTCCAAGGCAACTTGAGCACCTCTGGCAGCGATGGAGCAACCCAGATAGCACTCCAGGCCACCGGAAGCGCCTGTGAAGTTCCTCTGGCAACGATGGAGCAACCCAGATAGCACTCCAGGCCACCGGAAGCGCCTGCGAAGTTCCACTGGCACCGTGGGACAAGATAAAGATTCACAAATGCAGGAAAATAGAAAGAAACATGCCCCTTAAGCTGATGATGTAAAAAGGAGGGTAGGATCTTTTACTCCACTCTAGTCAATGGAGGGTGGAGATGTTTGGTCCTGCTTCTCCTCCAGGGTGCACCTATGTGATGTGGGTTAGATTGGTAAAAGGTGAATGGTCTATATTGACCATATTGGTAGAAGGAAAGAAGACCAACTCATAAAGATGCATCCTGGGCATAATTATTGAGTGTGGGACTAGAGAAAGTCCCAAAGGGGGGCTATGTTGGAGAATTCTGCTTGTCCTATGTACACGTGAAAGAAGTGTGCTGTACATGTGAAAGAAGTATGCTGTGCATGTGAAAGAAGCGTGCATGTGATGTAATGCCAAGAAGAAAAAAACTAGGGTCTTAGGGCACATGAGGACAGGGACGAGAGAGTGGAAAAGTACCCAAAAAACACTTGTAGCACAGATGCAGGTGTTGGGAGGCACTGGGAGAGAAACAGATTGTATACAATGTAACAATGTGCCACTGGGAAAAGTGTACTGAAACAAGGAGCCCATTGTGTAAAAAGAAATGATACGCATGCGCAAGGAAGTTTGCCCAATTAAAAATAAAATGATAATGCAGGTGTTTTTAATCTGGGAGGAGTAATAAGGAGGAGCCAGGAGAGAAAAGATAACAATTTGAGCGCTAATTGGGTACCACAAGGTATAAGAAATGAGTGCAGACCATTGTAAGATCAGATGCTTGGCCACATCTCACTTTGTTGACCTGCTCAATAAAGTAACTTCTTCTGAGACCTGAAACCTCGACTCTGCGCAATTTCTTCAAGACCTGAACCAGACTTTGATGATTTGAATTGAGACTGGAAATCTGCCACAACACCCTCTTCATTGAAAAGGGCCAGCCGGGAACGCAGCACGCGGAGCGGTAAAGCCTCACAATGCTCGCAAGCAGCTCCCTCGAGAGCTGCCTGCGCGTGCTGCATTCCCAGACAATGTGTACACAGTTGGTGTGTGTCCCCGCCCGTGATGTAGCGAGGGCAAGGGTGCACACACCGCCTGAAATTCACACTCGCCATTATTTAGATTTTAGGGAGATATGCTTAGACAGACAAACAATAAATAAGACTGACAGTCACAGAGAGCGCTTAGCTGAAGAACAGAAAGCTGACATATTGTGTGTGCCGGTTCCTTATATATGCTTCCGCCTATGTGTCGTCACACATCACGTCATCACGTTGATCCAATCGGAGATTGGCTTAGTTTCATTCATGCTTCAGAGACGCTACGCTGAGGGGCGTTCCCCCAAAGTGTCACTTGGACGCAGTTTGAGTTCCCTCGATAGGGAACTGACACACCAACCTCCTGCACGAGTGCACAAAGGGGCTCAAACTGTTCTATTCATCACAAGAATCAGTAAATTTACTGTTGGGAATCTGAGCTACTGACATGACTCCTAAATGGATCTTCAACAATAGTTTAGCAGCCAGGACTCGGGGCTTCCGAACACCAGGCTAAACCGTCCGTCCAAAATGTCACGGTCATTGTTCACGAGCTGCCCAGCACAAACTTCCAACCTTTCTGCCTCCTTCACGTGGTCCTCCGTTGTGCAACAAGAGGTGAGACGTGCTGCGTCCCAATTCGCCTACTTATACTACGGCCTAAAAGTACTCTTTTTGTGAAGAAAAAGTACATACTTTTGAGTGTGTAGCAAAAGAGTAGGCAAGCTTTGGCACATACTAGCATGTCATCTTTAACCGACGGCTCTGCGTGCATCCTGTCACCGTAAACTGCCCTTTCACAGTTAATATCCTCAATTCTATCTAATTTGATTTCCTACCGTATCGGAGCACGTTGATCTGCCAGGGTCTTTCATGCGGATACTTTACTCGTAATTGTAATTTGAATATAATGATGCATTTAAAAAGTAATGGCTAAACGTATCCTTACAAAAGTTCACAATGCTGCTGCAGATGTAATATAATGTGGAGAACATTGAATAAATTAATTTTCGTTTGGTTAGATACTGATAATTAATCACTCCCCAGATTAATCACTCGCCAGACGTTGAACCAACGTCAGACGCGTCATTCTTTCAAAACTAACGGAAAATCAACTTGAAATCAATGTTGCTTCAACGTTATGAAAGCAAACCAATTTTTGATTTTCATTTAGCTTTGAAGAATGCCGCGTCTGACGTTGGTTCAACATTAATTCGATGAGCAAAATCAACGTTGTTTCGATCTCATGAGAGACGTCGTTTCCACGTTGATTCAATGTCAGTTTGCTGTCTGGGTCAAACCTCTTTATCTAAACCTCTCAACGTAACCGCGGGACTCGCGCGTCCTCCGTGTCTGTAGTTTCATAACACTTTTTACTGGTGTTTGTAGTTCTAACCGAATCCTCCTCGTCCAACGCGCAATGGGTTGTGGGCAATCAGCCGTTAGAGTGTGCATCGATCAACACTCAAGGGGGTAATCCATCGACCGGAAGTTGAAGCCTCGCGGGAGCTGACATCTTGTAGCAGAACTTCACTTGCGTTACCATTCCCATTGACTCCCATTCATTTTGGCGTCACTTTGACAGCGAATAACTTTACATCTGAGGCGTTTGAAGACCCCATTTGTCCTTAAATTATTTCTAAAGAAACACGACAATGTATAAAATGCTCCATTACCTTGTAGCTTATGTTATGGCCCTGTAGAAGCAGTTTTAGTGAAAGAGGCTAACAATTGCGTCATACCCACGCGACTCTCTGTCGCACGTAGAGAGATTACCGTATGGACATGAGAAGAAGCTCGCGCGCAATCTGGGAAACGTGGAGGCAATATGACAAAATAATTAATCAGAATACCTAGCAAAATTGTCTCCTTCTCCTAGCTCACGGACAGCTCCTATTCACACTCTCCGCCTCTGCATGTTTCGGAAGGGAATGATTCAGATTTCTCATGCCACAGCACTAGAAGACAGACGGGTTGCTCTCGTCACATATACGTAGTCAAGCTCTGTTTGAGTCGGTTTGAGTCTGCGCGTCAGGGACGGAAGTGCTAAAAAAATCGACAAAAACGAGCTGCAATCGTCTCAATGGAGTTCCAATGAGATCGCTCTGTCCATTTCTTTTACTGTCTATGTCTACACTTCGGATTCTGACCGGAAACAGTAGACCATCGGGGTATCTTTGAAACGCTCATTTCAACATACTACGGTTTGGGACGCACTAATTCTATTTTCGAATCCTATTTAGGACGAATAGTATGCGAATTGGGACACAGCAACAATCCGGCTAAATTCTTTAACTTTCGTTTTCTGAATCACTCTGTACTTTTCATAATAAAAGTCTCAACTCAAACAGCTCTTTACAAGGCAGTTTCAAATTAAGAGTCTTAAATACAATAATAAAATAAACATTAAATATTTACAGGCTTCTCTGTCAGTCACAATAAGAGTTCAATTAACTGAAAACTCTAAAAGGTTGTTTTTTAATTACTTATAAAAATAACTATAATTAATTGTACTTGCATACAATACACATTGTGGGGAGTCATTTTTCTGCCTTTTTTCTTTAGACCAAAAAAAAAAGAAAGAAACTTGCATTGCTTTTCAATCGCATTTCATTTTGGTATTTTTTTATTTTCTTTGAGTAAGTGTTTAATTAAAATGATTTTAATCATTCTTGTTCTCCAACAGATAAAACAAATCTTGCAGCAACACTAGTTTATTAGTTTAACTAGCTAAACATTTACTTTATTTGAATCTAACAAAACATTTTCTCACTGTGACACAGAACAATGCTTTCTAATATGAGTCACTAGACTACTTGATTGGGTGAAACTCTTTCCACACTGAGTACAGTAGTACGGCTTCTCTCCAGTGTGAACTCGCTCGTGTGATTTCAGGTTTCCAGACCGATTGAAACTCTTGTCACACTGAGTACAGTAGTACGGCTTCTCTCCAGTGTGAACTCGCTCGTGTTTTTTCAGGAATCCAGACTGAGTGAAACTCTTGTCACAATGTGAGCACTTGTAAGGTTTTTCTCCAGTATGAACTCGTTGATGCAGTTTCAGTTCACCAGGTCTAGTAAAGCTCTTCCCACAGTCAAAGCACATATAATCTCTCACTTCATTATGTGTTTTTTGGTGCCGTTTAAAACTGTCCAGCCTTGAAAAACTCTTTCCACAGAGAGAACACACATAAGGCTTCTCATCTGAATGAACTTTCAGGTGTTGTTTTAGAGTTTCTGATAAACTAAAATCTTTACCACACTGATCACAGTTAAATGGCTTTTCTCCAGAGTGAACACGCAGATGAACACGGAGACCTGATGCTTGAGTAAAACTCTTTCCACACTGAGTGCATGTACACGGTTTCTCTCCAGTGTGAATTCTCATGTGCCTGTTAAGGGTTCCTTTCTGTGTGAAAGTCTCTCCACACTGAGTGCATATATACGGTTTCTCTCCAGTGTGAATTCTCATGTGTTTGGTAAGGTTTCCTTTATGTGAGAAACTCTTTCCACACTGAGTGCATGTATACGGTTTCTCTCCAGTGTGAATTCTCATGTGTTTGTTAAGGGTTCCTTTATGTGTGAAACTCTTTCCACACTGAGTGCATGTGTGCATCTTTTTGGCTTTTGTTCTTTGAATCGTAAAGTTACGATGTTCCTCCTCCACTTCATTCAGTTCTTGTCTTTGCTCTTTCACTCTCACCTGGTCTAAAACACACAGAAATACAGTTAGAATCAGTTCAAGTTAACCCTTATTTATTAGTAGAAAACAACAGAGATCAGATCTTTCACTTGTTATTCTGTCCATTTATTGTTAATATAGTAAAATATGTTTGACAACTGCTTTATACAAAGTTATGATCATTTAGATGTATTTATCTATCATTTTTCATCCATAAATTGCTTATTAATTCACAGCCACCCAAGCATCAACAATGAAGAATCAAGAATGGACACCAACCTGTTTGTTCCTCAGTATCTTCATGTTTTATTCTGGATGGTTCTGGATCACTCATGTCTTCAATCTCTTCTTTAATAAACTCTATCTTTAACAGTCACACAGATTTCAGCTGCTACTCCTAGAGATTGTCCTTCTCTTGTAGGATGATGGGAATATTCCCAGTATTTTTTGGTGAATTGTTGTGGGAGGGGCTTCACTGCAGGTGTGAACTGTGATCAGTGTGTTTTTATCCAATCTGCATTTAAAAAGCACAGGACCATCATGTTAAACTGAGCAGCTGAAAAAACTCTTTGTCTCCAAAAGTTCCCTGTTTTCAGCTCATTCATTATGGTGATGTCTGAGATCTTCAGTAAATTGGCACATTAACTTGTTTTATTGGTGTCAACAGGCTGACACAAACTACAGCATCATCACCTTTCACTTCCATCGAGTCTGAAACACTAAAACATATTAAGTTGTTAGAAAGAGTTTTCGAAGACTGTTCAAACCCATTAGAAGTCCTTTCTGAAAATGAACTGCTGGAGAAGCTAAGGTTTAGCTAGGTTTCATAGACATGCACATGCAACTATTCATCTGTATTATTATTAAGTAACTGTAATTAAAACTCCTAGCTACATATTGCCAAATGTTTTAAATTAAATGAGTACAATATCACTTTCCATTTAATAGAGATCTTGCACTCCCAGACTTGGAGGATGACCAAATTGGTGTAGAACCCACTTTGGAGATTAACGGGCAGGAGGTGAAGATGGATCTGGGCGTTATATTCAACGAATGATTGTAGATAACATTTTCTCAGTTTGACTGAGAAAAATAAAGAATTTATACTATCAAATGAATTGGACATATTATAATGTATTCATTGAGACAATACTTACAAAAATATTTGATGCACAGTATGTCAGGACTCTGGTTTGATCTTCAGCCTTTCTGCTGTGTTTGTCTTGATTATCAGTCCACCTCACTCTACCATCACAGCTGAATCCTATTCTAATCAGTGCTCTCACTCTCATTGCTCACACCTGTTGCCCATTTTCTGCACTGATTTTCTCCACTACTTATACTTCTCTCCTTCTTTGGTTCTCTGTCAGTGTGTCTTGGTTTCAGTCCACTTCACAACTGTTCCCTTGCCTGAAAGTCTTGCTTTTTTTGCTTCTTGACCTTTAAAGCCTTTTCTGATTATTTATTACGGTTTTGATGTTTATTTGCCTAGTTCCTGTTCCCAATTTACCCAGCTTGCTCACCCGGTTTTTGACCCCCTGCTCTCGTCTTGGACTATTGCCTTGGCTCCTTCCTTAAAACTGTTGGTCTTCTCCTGGTTATGACCCCAGCCTGTCCATTGGATTTTGCCCTCTTACTTGGTGGCTCAGCTACCAATTATTTTTGTTTGCATTGTTTTCCTTCAACCTTTTGGACAATAAATTTAATTTTCAATTGATCTGCTCTTGGGTTCCTGTTGTCTCTGCACCTCCCTAACACAGTATCAGTAAAATCAGCTGAAATGTAACATGTTCAAATCACAAATACATTTAAGGTGCCCTAGAATGTTTTTTTTTAAATTATTTTATGTTTTCTTTGCCCTTAAAAGGTTAGTATGTTTTTTAGATCAAAAATAGTCATAATTTAGAAATAAAAGGCATTTTCCCTAGCCTGATTTTAGCCTCTGATTTGAACACTCTGTTTGAAGGGGCGTGTCTGCTGTTTGTAACCGGCCTCTGCTGTGATTGGCTGACATGCATGCATATGAAATAGCTATGTATTACATGTGAAACTCTCTCAAATAATTTTACTACAGCTATCATACGTTTTTACTATTAAAGCTATCGAGATTTACGAATCGTGAGATGTTTTGAAGTTTTTAGATCTATTCCCATCACATAAAATGTTGCTGTGATGAGCACTGAGCAAGCAGAGGACAGTCTGTTGATCACAAGGATGAAGATATTATCATTACAACGCAGTTTCTGCCTTCTCTAATGCTTTCACCAATGCAGACACAATCATGTAAATACAGTAAGAGCTTCGTTGTGCAGTGTAAAGTGCGTCATGAATCCATAACGAGTTTGGCAAGTGTCCAGATAAACTCGCGCTGTGTGGAAAGATTGTTCTTTGATCGCTTTCTGTATATAATTTATTCACAATTTAAATAAGTTTTTTTTTTCATCCTACTAAAGGAAACAATGTGATATTTTAGTCACTGGCTTGACTTTCTGATGCATAAACAGTATTGAACGATTTTGAGTGAAAGATTAACGTTACCTGTCTGAACTTGAACAAAAGTTACACATCAGAAAGTGTGGCTTGGAAGCTCGATCTGAGGCCAGCTCTTGGCCCAAGTTGAGGAAACAGTCGTCGGTGAAATGTTTGAAAATTTCCAGAGAAAATAACATTAACCCATTGTTTCTTAAGAGGCTCAGATGAAGGAACTAAAAATACTTTTGTGTTCATGTGTACATTAGGAATGGTTCGATACCACAATTTTGGCTTTGGTACGATACCAGAACCTAATACCTCGGTATCGATAGTAAATCGATACCACAGTTGAAAAAAAAGTCTAAATTTATGTGAAATGAAAAATTTTTATTAAACACTGCTTGAAACTCTCAACTACTATATGTACAAAGTATAAAAAAAAGTATCAAAATGTAAAAAATAAATAAATTCAGTCAAGGAACAAACAGTAGGTAAAATTTTGAGGTAGCATGTAACCCTCTGTTTAGGTTTTGAGTAGACCTGACGACCAATCTAATCAGCTATAGGTCAAACTGGGCCAATATCAGAGTTCTAGGTACGACTATGGAGCCTGGAACTATGGAATGTTAGCAGGAAAGAGAGAACACAACCCAGATGAGCTCAAGAGATGTATTGTACAAAATAATGACAGTTCAATAGAGAAAAGAAAAACAATACATATGAAGCTCAGAAGCATTTAAAACCACATTTGCAACTATCAGTAGCGGTCCCTGAATGTATCTTTGCATTTTCATTATGGCAATCTACATATCTATAGCTACTCAGCTGCATTGCTACAGCACATTTGTAGATTTTCAGTAGCATCTCTGTATGTATCTTTTCATATCTGGTGTTCTATATGACACGTACAGCAAATATTTAGGAGTGTATTCACAACATCTCTAATGTATCCTGTCATGATTCTGACATCATGTCATTGATTTTTCTAGTCTTGTGGCAGGATCATGGCAGAACCAGGTTTTGTGTGCAAGTGCATGGCCTGTTGTTTGGGCCATGTGTTTGTGTTGTCTCGTTTAATACCCCACCCCCTTGTTATACTCATCATGTCATTATTACCTAGTCTGTGTCACCTGTTCACCTCATTCGTTTCTCCCTTTATTATCACCTTGTGTTTGCTGTCCTGTGTGGGTTCTTGCGTGTTTCTCCCCGCGAATACCTTGTCTTTGAGGAACGTCGTGATCTTGTATTTGCTGTTAGTTTATAGTCTTGTCAAGTGGTTTCTAGTCTAGCTATCTCCCATTTGTTTTTGTCTGTTTTGCCCCCTCGTGGGTTTTGTTTTCCTGTTTGTCACCAATAAACCTTGTGTTCATCGCACTCTGCCTGCATTTGGGTTCATCACCTGCATCCACATAACAGAATGAACCAACCACAACTGAACCCAGCAGACAGTATGCCTGACGATCTTGTACATTGGTGGCAGGAGGCTATCTCCAATTCCAGGAATGGAAAGCTTTCGTTTCCTTCACAGGGTGAGTGGACCTTGAGACAGTATGCCCAGGTGGTGGAGGAGAGGCGGTTCTTCTTACCTGACTTTCTGGTAAATCGCTACCTCATCGCAGGTCTAAACGTTCTGCCTCCTCTGGCTGAACGGGAAAGTCTGGTTCGCCGCCCGTTCCCGGATATGGTGGCCTGCTTGTCGAGGAGAGATTTGCAGGCTCCCACCATGTCGTCTTCACCCTGCACGCTGCCAGTGATTCCTGAGGGTCGTGTATATGCAGTGGTCACGCACGAGAACCAGGCTCCCCTCGTTTCGACTCAAGAGGCGTCTTTCACACACACCGACCTCCGTGGTAAACGAGGGAGATGGATTTCTTGGGATTCCCCTTCGGACTCTTCGTCATTTGAGCTCACCCAACCAGAAGTGGTCATCCCTGTCCCAGTTTCATCTTCCGTTGAGTCCGGCCAGCCGATCGCAAGCCCTGTTGTGACCATTGCCCCACGGCCAAAGAGAAAGAGGAGAAAGAAGGGAGCTTCCTGTTTCCAATTGCCATCTTCTCCTGAGTCTGCTGCTGGGAGTGCTGTTTATGAAGCTGCGATTTTAAGCGCTGTTCCTGAATCTGCAGCCACGACTGCTGTTCCTGAGGCTGCAACTGTAAGTGCTGTTCCTGAGTCCGCAACCACGACCGTTGTTCCTGAGGCTGCAACTGTAAGCGCTGTTCCGGAATCTGCAGCTGCAACCGCTGTTCCTGAGACAGCAACTGAGAGCGCTTGTCCTGTACCTGCTGCTGGAAGCATGATTCCTGAGCCTGCGGTTGAGAGGGCGAGGTCTGTTACAGGGATGCCTGCTGTGAGAGCCACGGCTGATCGGGCAGCTGATGCAATTCTGCAGTCTGTTTCGTCACAACATGAAATGCCTGTCATCATTGCTGCCAGGACCCTGTCTGATTATTTGTCATGTCTAGCAAGAATCCTCAATCCTTGTCCGTCCTGTCTTGTCCTCAGTCCTCGAGCCTGCAGCCGAGAGCGCTGCACCCGAGCCTGCCACCGAGAGGGGTGCAGTTTCAGAGCCTATGGCAGTCACCGACTCAGAGTTGTGGAGCGTTGATTCTGGCTCTAGCCTCTGGGAGCTCTGTTCCTGTCCCAGCCCCCTTACCGCCTCATAATCCCCTTGGCTCCGTTTCACTACCTGCTGCTGCAGTCCCTGCTGTCTCCGGTCATCCGTTTGTTTCCCCTGTCTCCTCTGTCTCTGTCTCTTCCCCGGACTGTTTCCCCTGTCACCACGAAACCCCGGACTGTTTCGCCCAAGTCCCGTCCTCGTGTGTCTTCCTCCAAACCTGCCCGGATTCCTCGTTCCTTGCCATTATCCCATGGACCTAGGACCCCCAGCACACCCATCCACCCTGGACCACCCCCCATGAACTCTGTTATTCCTCCACCTCCTCTACCATGTTTTTTGTTTTTATTGTTCCATCCCAACCCTGTTATTGTTTTCTCTTGTATGCCTTTGTTAGTTTTTGTCATGTATTGTTGGTTCGTGTCTTTGTCTCAGTCGGTCATGTTCCGTGTTTAATGTCCCCTTGAGAAGCGTCTGGAAGCCGCTCCTTAAGGTGGGGGTTCTGTCATGATTCTGCCATCATGTCATTGATTTTTCTAGTTGTGTGGCAGGATCATGGCAGAACCAGGTTTTGTGTGCAAGCGCACATGGCCTGTTGTTTGGGCCATGTGTTTGTGTTGTCTCGTTTAATACCCCACCCCTTTGTTATACTCATCATGTCATCATTACCTAGTCTGCGTCACCTGTTCACCTCATTGGTTTCTCCCTTTATTATCCCCTTGTGTTTGCTGTCCTGTGTCGGTTCATTGTGTGTTTCTCATTGCGTGTTTCTCTTTGTAAGTATCTACCCATGAATACCTTGTCTTTGAAGAACGTCTTGATCTTGTATTTGCTGTTAGTTTATAGTCTCGTCAAGAGTTTTCTAGTTGAGTTATCTCCCATTTGTTTTTGTCTGTTTTGCCCCCTCGTGGGTTTTGTTTTGCTGTTTGTCACCAATAAACCTTGTGTTCATCGCACTCTGCCTGCGTTTGGGTTCATCACCTGCATCCACATAACAGTATCCGTAACCATTTCACAACACATGTGATGTCATTCAAGTAACTATCCATATATATTCCTTGTGACTATCCAAATAAAGTGAAACATACGTGAAGCTTAGTCGACAGTTTATAGCTTATATTCCATCATTTACCAAATTTTACACATCTTATACAGCCAACAGATACTCTTTTACAAATAACTGTCAGAAATCTGCCCCAAATTGAACAACAAAAAACAATTACAGAGCTTAATGCTGAACATTATGTCATGGTTGTAACACAACCCTACTGTATATGTGCCCCCTGAAGGGAGCACACCTCTACAACTCACTACAGTATCACTACTTCATATTATTGTGTTCCATAAACTTTACAATACTGAATTTCTACAATTTGTCTTCATTCATTAACATCCTGAGGTCATTTTGTACAGTCTCTCTAATTATGTACTCTACTACAAAAATGAAGTCAAGCTATTATATGAATACACACAAATCATATACATTCACCATTGTTCTGTTTAAGAGGTACTGTTAGATTTTGGTGATGCCGAGCAGTTGTTTCAGTGGCTCGCCAATGTATTGAACCAGACTTTGATGATTTGAATTGGGACTGGAAATCTGCCACAACATAATTGGCGAGCGGCAGACAGGAGCTTCGAGAGGGGAGCGGCCGTGGTGACAACGCCTGCCGGTGGCCTCACGAAACAAAAGGTCGACCAAAAACAAGGTAAGCAGCTTTTGCTTAATTTGTTTCGTGTTGCCCCTGACAGAGCAGTCACTTGGTTGGTAATTATTGTTTGATATTTAAACAAATATTAATGGATTGAGCCCCCGCCGAAAAACGAATCTAAAAAGACTACATTTAGTAAGGCAAAAATAAGTGGAAAAGAAAAGTCGAGATCTTGGGTCAAATGAAGTGAAAGCGCATGCGTATGAATGTGTAAATTCTCACAAGAGGTGCTGTGAGAGAACCTATAAGAGGTGCTATAGGTTCATTTGTGTGAATGTGTAAATTCTCACAAGAGGTGCTGTGAAAGAACCCAAAGCGTAATCCTCCTCGCTCTATTGGCCGGTGACAGATCTTCCGTGATTTTCAGTCGGTTCTCAATCAGAATCTCAGCATCCTTGGCGGACCGCCACACAGCATCTCGGTAAAAACGCGAGGTGAATTGGAAGATGATTCCACGAGGTTTATTGTTTGGATTAACACGGCCAAGTCGGTGTGCCACATCAACTACAATCCTACAGTATGTTGCTTCTCTTCGGGACTTGGCCACGACATGTGAGTTCGCATCTAATAATGATGAAATGTTGCGAGATCAACTAGTGGAGAATGTAAACAGTCATCGTGTTAGAGAACGTTTGCTACTAGAGACTGATTTGACTCTTAACAAGGCTATTACTATTGCTACACAAATGGAGCAACCCTGTATCACACGAAATACGTTCTGAGGAAACTATTTTGCAAATCGCAATTACGTTACATGCCGACATATAAGCAGTGCTATTAAGTTGGTCCTTAACCTAATATAAACAGTGCTATTACGTTGGTTCTTAACATAATATATCCAATCCATTGCAGTGCTATTACGTTTGTTTTGAACATAATACATCCAAAGCCGGTTTCTTTTCACACGTAGCAACATTTTGTGTTAATTATTTACTCCCTTTTATCTCATTGGGCTACAAAGTTATATCTATGCCAGGGCAAGTCAAATGGCGGCACCCAGTTAAAAGTCCAACTGGTTTTTGATGTTTAAAACCCCCGCAATCGGATATGAACGTCCCCGCAAAGGTTTAGCGCGTTCATCGGTGAGTTTAACAACCCACGTGATCATTCAGCGGTGAATTTAACAACATTCAACTGCAGGTAAAACGGCATTCAAAGGCGAGTTTGACCAAAGCAACCCTCAACTGCAGGCAAAACGAGATTAAAAGGTGACTTTAACAACGCTCTAAGACGCTTGCAAGTAAGCAGTTTTAGCGTTTTCTTGTTATGTAGTAGGACAGAAGCTGGATAACTTATTTTTATCAGAGGTTTGATTAAAAACTGATGAGTCAGGACAATAAGTTGTGTTTAGAAACTTTAGATTTGTAAGGTGGCCATTTCTTATAACGATATATGATAGAATAAATTATATTAAAAAAATAAATAAATAAAGCTTTCTGAACCAAATGTGCAGGCAACCAAAGTGCCGAAGTTATGACGTCACTTTGTAGGCCAATCGCGAAAGTGAGTTAGCATTTTAGCACTTCCGGTTCCCTCGCCCTAAATTTTATTAATATGTCTGGTATAGACAACTTTCATTTCCTTAATCAGTCTCTACATTTCATAATAAAAGTATCAACTCAAACAGCTCTTTACAGGGCAGTTTCAAATTAAGAGTCTTTAATACAATAATAAAATAAACATTAAACATGAACTGACTTCTCTGTCAGTCAAAATAAGAGGCCAATTAACTGAAAACGCTTAAAAGGTCGTTAATTGTACTTGCATACAATACACATTGTAGGGAGTCATTTTTCTGCCTTTTTTCTTTAGACCAAAAAAAGAGAAACTTCGGAAATTGTTGTTTTTCTGCATTTCTTTCCAGTCTCTTTTCTTTTTGATATTTTTTATTTTTATTTTCTTTGAGTAAGTGTTTAATTAAAATGATTTCAATCATTTTCTTGTTCTCCAACAGATAAAACAAATCTTGCAGCATTTCACAGCAACACTAGTTTATTAGTTTAACTAACTACACATTTACTTTATGTGAATCTAACAAAACATTTGCTCACTGTGACACAGAACAATGCTTTCTAATATGAATCACTAGACTACTTGATTGGGTGAAACTCTTTCCACACTGAGTACAGTAGTACGGCTTCTCTCCAGTGTGAACTCGCTTGTGTCTTTTCAGGGATCCAGACTGAGTGAAACTCTTGTCACAATGTGAGCACTTGTAGGGTTTTTCTCCAGTATGAATTCGTTGATGCTGTTTCAGATCAACAGATGCAGTAAAGCTCTTCCCACAGTCAAAGCACATATAATCTCTCACTTCATTGTGTGTTTTCTGGTGCAGTTTAAAATTGTACAGCCTTGAAAAACTCTTACCACAGAGAGAACACACATAAGGCTTCTCATCTGAATGAACTTTCAGGTGTTGTTTTAGATTTGCTGATACACTAAAATCTTTACCACACTGATCACAGTTAAATGGCTTTTCTCCAGAGTGACGAAGCAGATGAACACTGAGAGTTGATGATCGAGTAAAACTCTTTCCACACTGAGTGCATGTATACGGTTTCTCTCCAGTGTGAATTCTCTTGTGCCTGTTAAGGTTTCCTTTATGTGTGAAACTCTTTCCACACTGAGTGCATGTATACGGTTTCTCTCCAGTGTGAATTCTCATGTGTTTGTTAAGGGTTCCTTTATGTGTGAAACTCTTTCCACACTGAGTGCATGTGTGCCTCTTTTTGGCTTTTGTTCTTTGAATTGTAAAGTTACGATGTTCCTCCTCCACTTCATTCACTTCTTGTCTTTGCTCTTTCACTCTCACTTGGTCTAAAACACAGAAATACAGTTAGAATAAGTTCAAGTGAACCCTTATTTAATAGCAGAAAACAGATCTTTCACTTGTTATTCTGTCATTCTCTTGTTAACATAGCTAACTTTGTTTGACAACTGCTAAAGGTTATGATCCTTTTTCATATATCATATATCATCAGCATATTAATTCACAGCAACCAAAGCATCAACAATGAAGAATCAAGAATGGACACCAACCTATTTGTTCCTCAGTATCTTCATGTTTTATTCTGGATGGTTCTGGATCACTCATGTCTTCAATCTCCTCTTTAATAAACTCCATCTTTAACAGTCACACAGATTTCAGCTGCTACTCCTGGAGTTTGTCCTTTTCTTGTAGGATGATTGGAATAATCCCAGTATTTTTTGGTGAATTGTTGTGGGAGGAGCTTCACTGCAGGTGTGAACTGTGATCACTGTGTTTTTATCCAATCTGCATTTAAAAAGCACAGGACCATCATGTTAAACTGAGCAGCTGAAAAACCTCTTTGTCTCCAAAAGTTCCCTGTTTTCAGCTCATTCATTATGGTGATGATGATCTTCTGTAAATTGGCACATTAACTTGTTTTATTGGTGTCAACAGGCTGAAACAAACTACAGCATCATCACCTTTCACTTCCATCGAGTCTGAAACACTAAAACATATTAAGTTGTTAGAAAGAGTTTTCGAAGACTGTTCAAACCTATTAAAAGTCCTTTCTGAAAATGAACTGCTGGAGAAGCTAAGGTTTAGCTAGGTTTCATAGACATGCAATACAAGAACTAGCAACTGACTCTGAGGAGCATTTGAAGCCTAAAACTTCAAGAAATTTTAGCATCCCAATGTCTAGTTCTACGCTTCTTTGCCACAGGGAGTTTTATAAACACAGCTGCAGACAAGTCTACAGCATCAAGAACTATTCATCTGTATTATTATTAAGTAACTGTAATTAAAACTCCTAGCTACATATTGCCAAATGTTTTTACAGTTTTTCTCGATTGTTTACACACATTTTCTGGTACTTGAGACACAATGACCACAACATGTAACTCATTCACCAACCCCCTGAACCAATTCTGCTGAACTACAAGCACAATTCCTGCTTTACACTCAAATTGCAGTTCTAAAACACACTTTTTTCAAAACACTACACACAATTCTCTGCATTTGGCACAATTTTCATGCAGAAAATCTCTTGTTTTCATGAGGAACACACTGCCATTCAAATATTCACACTGACTCGTCACATGGGCAAACACATGTCACACAGTTTTACAATTAGCAATCAGAGCTTTAGCATAAAATACCAAAACCAAAGAGAGGATGCAGCATAGATTTTTTTTTTTATTTCTTTTTTTTACTGTAACAGCATAACAAATTCTGTTGTTTTGTATGTAGACCACTGTATGTGCAACTTTGTGTTGGTTGGGGTGTACAAAATGTGGGATCTATTTCCCATTGATTTTGTGGGAAAAATAAAATATATTTGTTACTGTATATTTGTGTGTTCTGGGTATAAAAACAATATTCTCAAATATTTTACAACACACTTATGTATGTAATGTCTGTAGTAAGTGTAACACTGAACAAAAAAGGCCTAAGTCATTATGATGAATGGAGAAGAAGTGTTTTCCATTGATCATAGTGTTTTACATTGAGCACATCAGTGTTCAACTGGTTCTTATAAATGTCTATTCATATGATGGTTTGTGTGTGTCATTTGAAAACAAAATACCATTTTGAGAAGAAATAACATTGTTTTGAATGTAAAGTTTCATTTTGCAGGAGAATTGAGGGGTTTTGCCAATTGTGTGAGTGTTTTTAGATTTGTGTGTAGAGTTCTGAGAATATGAGGCATTCTTTCAGAAAATGTGTGTAACAATCGAGAAAAACTGTAAATTAAAGGAGTACAATATCACTTTCCATTTAATAGAGATCTTGCACTCCCAGACTTGGATTTTGACCAAATTTGTGTAGAGCCACTTTGGAAATTAACGAGACAGGAGGTGAAGATTGATCTGGGCGTTACATTCAACAAGTCAAGTCAAGTCAAGTCACATTTATTTATATAGCGCTTTTCACAATACGGATTGTATCAAAGCAGCTTCACAGTGATAACATGAAAGTAGTACAACACAGATCAATAATATTGCTAAACACTAAATAACCCCAACTGAGCAAGCCAAAAGCAAGGCGACAGTGGCAAGGAACCAAAACTCCATCAGATTGGATGGAGAAAAAAACCTTGGGAGAACCCAGGCTCAGTCGGGGGCCAGTTCTCCTCTGGCTTACATTCATATTGTTTAAATATAATTATTAAATATAAATATTGTTTATGTATAAAACGGCGCCATAACATATCGCAGGCGTTTGAGTCGTCTCTTCACAGGCGTTGGTCTTCTCATCACAGGCGTTGGGGCATCCGAGATCCCCGTGAGAGGCTGGACACAAAACTGGACCTGACGAACGCCATTTTTCTCGGGACAAGCGTCCCGAGATAACAGCAGAAAGGCAGATGGGAAATAATTAGCATAGCTGATGTTCATAATGATTTCCATTATACGGGAGTCGGTGTTAGAAACCACTATCTCACAAACTCTCCGTAACGTGAACTCTCCACAACCCAACCATACGCGCAGACCCTTTTGACTAAGGCTGTCGAGCCCCACTGTCGCGGAAATGCGTTTCAGTGGCAAACGGTTCCGTATGGCATAACAGAGGACTAGAAGGTAAGCATTATGTGAATGCTTGACTAAAGAGATGCGTCTTTAATCTAGTTTTAAACTGTGTCAGCGAGTCAGAGCCTCGGACCGTATCGGGAAGGCCATTCCAGAGTTTTGGAGCTAAATGCGAGAACGCCCTCCCTCCTTTAGTGGACTTCGATATCCTAGGAATGACCAGAAACCTTGAATTTAGTGATCTTAAGGAACGCGGTGGATTGTAGGGCGAAAGAAGGTCCGTTAAGTACATAGGTGCTAAACCATTTAGGGCTTTATAGGTTAGTAGCAGTATTTTGTAGTTGATGCGGAACTTAATAGGTAACCAGTGTAGAGATGATAAAATCAGTGTTATATGATCATATTTTCTTGACCTAGTAAGAACTCTAGCGGCTGCATTTTGTACTAACTGTAGCTTGTTTATTGAGGATGCAGGACAACCGGCTAATAAAGCATTACAGTAATCTAGTCTCGAGGTCATGAATGCGTGAACTAATTTTTCTGCATCAGAGATAGATAGCATGTTACGTAGCTTAGCAATGTTTCTAAGGTGGAAAAAGGCTGTTCTTGTAACATATGAAATATGATTTTCGAAAGACAAGTTGCGGTCTAGTATAACACCCAGGTCTTTTACTGTAGTGGATAAAGTAAAAGGACATCCGTCTATATTAAAGTTGTACTGTAAGAGGTTTTGTGAGTAGTTTTTTGGACCAATAAGTAATACCTCTGTTTTATCTGAATTTAATAGCAGGAAATTATGCGTCATCCAGCATTTTATATCTTTGAGACACTCTGTCATTTTAGATGAGTTAGTGTTTTCATCTGGTCGTGATGAAATATATAATTGAGTGTCGTCAGCGTAACAGTGGAAATTAATTCCATGTTTTCTTATAATATTACCAAGTGGCAGCATATATATTGAGAATAGCAGAGGGCCTAAAACCGATCCTTGCGGTACTCCATAGTCTACTGACGTTATCTTTGATTTTTTCCCATTTAAACAGACAAAATGATAACGGTCCGATAAGTACGATCTAAACCAGCTCAATGCCTGTCCCTGAACACCAGTGTAGTTTTGTAGTCGATCCAAGAGTATTTTATGATCTATAGTGTCGAACGCAGCGCTAAGATCAAGTAGGACTAGTATTGAGATACAGCCTTGGTCAGAAGCTAAAAGTAAATCGTTTGTAATTTTAACTAGCGCAGTTTCTGTACTATGATGCGGTCTGAATCCTGACTGGAATTTTTCATAGATATCATTTTCATGCAGAAAAGAGCACAATTGAGCGGACACAACTTTTTCTAGTATTTTGGACATAAATGGAAGATTTGAAATGGGTCTGTAATTTGCCAAGTTATTTGGATCTAATTGCGGTTTCTTAATGAGAGGTTTTATTACTGCCAGCTTGTATATTTTTGGAACATGACCTAAAGATAAAGACGAGTTAATAATATTGAGGAGAGGCTCTTCCACTGCAGGTAATAGTTCTTTCAGTAGTTTAGTGGGTATTGGATCTAATAAACAAGTTGTTGGTTTAGATGCAATAATAAGTTTATTTAGCTCCTCCTGTCCTATCGTTGTTAATTGAAGCTGAATCATAAGACACCATGGAGGATTGTACATTTATAATTGTGTTTCGGATGCTTTCTATTTTCTCATTGAAGTAATTCATAAAATCATTACTACTAAACTGTAACGGTATATTTTGCTCTGGTGATGTCTGTTTATTTGTTAGTCTAGCCACGGTGTTAAATAAAAACCTTGGATTATTTTGGTTATTTTCGATTAGTTTGCGGAGATGCTCAGCCCTGGCTGTTTTTAGTGTCTTTTTATAACGTGACATGCTGTCTTTCTACGCGATTCTAAAGACCTCTAAATTAGTTTGTTTCCATTTACGCTCTAACTTACGGGTTTCTCTCTTGATAGCATGCGTAGCACTGTTGTACCATGGTGCTTTAGTTTTCTCTCTAACCTTTTTTAATCTAATTGGTGCAACAATATCTAATGTACTAGTAAAAATGCTGCTTAAACTGCTAGTCGTTTCCTCTAATTCATCTGTTTGTTTGGGTTCACTTAGCAGCTTAGATAGATCAGATTTCTACAAACAAATGATTGTAGAAAACATTTTCTCAGTTTGACTGAGAAAAATAAAGAATTTATACTTTCAAATGAATTGGACATATTATAATGTATTCATTGAGACAATACTTACAAAAATATTTAATGGACAGTATGTCAGGACTCTGGTTTGATCTTCAGCCTTTCTGCTGTGTTTGTCTTGATTGTCAATTCACCTCACTCTACCATCACAGCTGAATCCTAATCAGTGCTCTCACTCTCATTGCTCACACCTGTTGCCCATTTTCTGCACTGATTTTCTACACTACTTATACTTCTCTCCTTCATTGGTTCTCTGTCAGTGTGTCTTGGGCCCCGTTTACACAATGGGAAAACGCAGATATTTCTCTGCATTTTGCCCTCTCGTTTACACGAAAACCCAGTTTTTATCACAGAAAACGATTATTTCTAAAAACTCCGGCCAAAGTGGAGATTTCTGAAAACGTGGAGGGGGAAAATATTTGTTTTGCTAAATACCCGGCTTTGTGTAAACGTGGCCTTGGTTTCAGTCCGCTTCACAACTGTTCCTTTGCCTGAAAGGCTTGCTTTGTTTCCTTCTTGACATTTAAAGCCTTGTCTCATTATTTATTACTGTTTTGTTGTTTATTTGCTTAAGC